ACTCAAGAGAAAAAAGGGTTCGATATTCCAGTCTATACAGTCGCTACAGAAGAACAGCGCAAAGGTAAGTAGATGTTTAAAAGGGGAGACAAAGAAGGTAGGATAATTGGAACGGAAGAAAAGATGTACCTTTTATTTTCTATTTCTATTGTTATTATTTCTTTTATCCTAATGACTGAATTGGAATATTTGTTGTTCTGTGGTTCTCTTTGATATGATTTGGAAAAGATATTGAAATTTATTGATTCGTGTTAGTTGTGAATACCATATTTGGAAACAATAAGGACAATGAACACGTTTCACTGAATTTATATGACAGGGATTTATCACAAGACGGGGGGCGGTGGAGGTTCGAATCTCTGTCAGGAGGTTATAAATTCATGATTCAATGCTTGTTAGTATTATTTTCCTTTCTTTCCCTTTCGCATTATCTTAATCCCAACTAAAATATATTCCAGAACCCAAACCTTCGCCTCCCCTCCTATTTAGCAAAGACTAAACTCGTCTCCACCTTCCATTTTTTTTTCAAAATAAATCTATTATTAACAAAATTACCTCCCTTTCCCAGCTTTCACCAAAGCACAATTACCAACCCCACCCCCCACCCCCACCCCTCTCCCAACTTTCCTACCTTCCCAGCTATAAGTCAAACTCAGCTTTTTTCTCCCAGTTTTCAGCAAAACGTGATATCTGCGACGAGAAATCAGCCGGCGCCCGCAATGACTACCTTCTGGCACTCACGGCCGCCAACACCCACCAAAGACGCTACTATGAGATCGACTTCGAAAGAGTTCTCCGGGTTAGTGTTATGTTTAGGTATAAAAATGGTGTAAAAGATCATGGATTTGAAACAAACATTATATATCTATCTATCTATATATATATATATATACATTTTTTATGTATATATATATATATATCTTGGTTCTGAAACACACATGATTATAATATATATATATATATATATATATATATATATATATATATATATATATATATATATATATATATTTATATATATATATATATATATATATATATATATATATATATATATATATATATATATATATATATATATATATATATATATATATGTATATATATATATATATATATATATATATATATATATATATATATATATATATATATATATATATATATATATATATATATATATATATTATATATATATATATATATATATATATATGTATATAAATATATATATATAAATATATATATATATATATATTATAATATATATATATATATATATAATATATATATATATTATATATATATATATATATATATATATATATATAATATATATATATATATATATATATATATATATATATATATATATATATATATATATATATAATATATGTTTGACTTTTTAAATCGACTTGCTTTTTCTTTTTCTCTGTCCATCTTCTAATCTATTCTCTTTCTCTCCCTCCTTCGCTCTCTCTCATTGTCTCTCCCTCTCTTTCCCTCTCCCTCCTCTTCTTTCTTTCTCTTTCTCTCTCTCTCTCTCTCTCTCTCTCTCTCTCTCTCTTCTCTCTCTCTCCCTCTCTCTCTCCCTTTCATTCCCTTTCCTTCCCCCCTCCCTCTCTCTCCCTTTCCTTTACACTCCCTCTCTCCTTTCTCCCTCCCTTTCCCCCTTCCTCACTCCCCTCCCCTCCCCCCTCTCTCTCTCTTCCTTTCCGTTCCATTCCCTCTGCCTCCTTCTCCCTCTCTCTCTCTGTACAGACAATGGAGTGTGACATGTACGACAAGGTGGCCGGTTACCTGACCCTCATGAGCCGGACAGAACTGCTTACCTGTTCGGCTTCACAGGTCTCCTATACAAGGATCCGAGAGCAGGCTAGCACGGTAAGGAACGTTTTGGTTTTCCAGTTAGAAAGTGTGCATTCACGTATCACGTATCACGACACGTCAGGTCACGTTACTCGGACACATGCGCATACACACAAAAAAAAACATAACAGACACACACACACAGATAGATATAGACTCACACATAAACATACGCACACACGAAACAACACACACACACTCATAGATAGATATAGACTTAGATACATGCACATTCACATACACAAACAAAAAAATACACATACATATACATAGACATATACACATGCAAATACACATACACACAAAAAAGAGACTCACATACTCTCAGATGCACACACCCATATACCTCTACGTAACGTGTATATATATAGTCATACGATGTATAACAATAATATATAATAACAAGTAGAGACGTATTAGACTGATATTATAGTTGGCTCTACGCTTATATCTATCATGGACCCCTTCCTATGCTATTAAGGCCCCTATTAAGTAATTTTCCTGTTTATTGCCTGCCTTAATGTATGTCCCCGTTTTCTGCAGTCTTTTTAAATGCGAATTATGAGTTACGAGCTTGTGCAAAATCCTTTTACATAAGAGGCAGAAGTGGGTTGTGGTGTGAATATAAATTTTAGATAATTTGCTGGACCGTTTTTATTATTCATTATTTCTCATCATTGACGACATCAATATCAATGATATCATCTGCATCGTCATCATTATCATCATTATCATTGTCATTATAGAGGTAGTAGTAGTAGCAGCAACAGCAACAATTGTAGGACAGTAGTAGTGTTATTAATAGTATGTACTATCAGGTATAACAGTGTATCATAGACAATAGTACCATTAGCAGGAACCAAAATACCAGTAAAAGCAGCATTATCACAAAGCAGTAAGCATCATCACCAAGCAACATTCTTTTCTCTATATAAAGACGCCACACCATAAAAATCAGTTTTTTTCTATTATATAAAAGTCACCACACCATAAAAATCAGTCTTTTTTCTATATATAAAGCCACCACACCATAAAAAAAATCCCCAATCACGAAGCAGTAAGCATCATCACCAAGCAACACTTTTTTCTACATATAAAAAACACACCATAAAAATCGTATTTTCATATATAAAGCCACCACCATAAAAAATCCCCAATCACGAAGCAGTAAGCATCATCACCAGCAATTTTGTCTTTTTTCTATATATAAACACACACACCACACCATAAAAAAAAACATTCACCACACCACCAAAAAAAAAAAAAAAACTTACAACAGCACTCCCTGTTCCTCGTCCTTCCCCGCAGATTACCCGAGGCTACAACCTGCGCTGCTACCTCACCTTCTACCCTATGCTGGGCCAGAATATCAATTACGATTATGAACCTTGCGAGGGAGACAAAATAGACAAGCTTGTGGTTCATGACGAGACCTGTCAGGGTATCTTGGACAATGAGAGCAAGAAAGCGGTAGCCGTTATACAGAAGGAGACGAAGGTAGGTTGGCAGGGGGAGAGGGAGCGTTGTGATAAATGTTTATGTTTGAGGAGAATGAAATTAATATGTGATAAGGGATGGTGATAAAGATATGATAAGGGATGGTGATAAAGATGTGGTGATAAAGATATGATAAGGGATGGTGATAAAGATATGATAAGGGATGGTGATAAAGATGTGATGGTGATGAGATATGATAAGGGATGGGATAAAGATATGATAAGGGATGGTGATAGATATAAGATGGATAAGGGATGGTGATAAAGATGTGATAAGGGATGGTGATAAAGATGTGATAAGGGATGGTGATAAAGATATGGGATTGATAAAGATGTGATAATGGGAATGGGAATTGGATCGGTTAAATGTCTGTGATTAAAAAGAAAATGTCATGAAGAAAAGAGAGATTTTGATAAAAATGTGATAATGGAAAAAGGCATTGTTGGGATAAAAGTTGTGATTAAAGAAGAGAAGAAAAGAGATAATGATAAAATTGGGGTAATGAAAAAAGGGATGGTTGTGATAAAGGTTGTGATCACATTATATGATAAAGAATATGATAAGGATACAACGAAATATATTAATGACAGTTAAACGAAATATGATAATGAAAATGAATAGAGGCGGATGACAAGAAAAATCTGATAAAGATTTAAAAACTAGTATTATCACAAGGAATTTATATTATTAAGAATTAAAAAGACGATGAGATAGCATAGCTATCGCAAATATATGTTCTTGTCAAGATAATTTCAAATGTCATTTTTTATAATTATATTGTAATAATTACAATTATCCATTAATCTTTTATACGAATGTTGTTTTATGGCAATCATTAATAGCTTATTTATTTTATATCCCTGTCTCTCCACCCACTCTCTCTCCATCCTCTTCTTGTCTCTGCTTTCTCTCTCTCTCTCTCTTCTCTCTCTTTCTCTTCTCTCTCCTCTCTCTCTCTCTCTCTCTCTCTCTCTCTCTCTCTCTCTCTCTCTCTCTCTCTCTCTCTCTCTCTCTCTCTCTCTCTCTCTCTCTGTTTTACCTCTCTTTCCCTTCTTCCTTTTCTTTTCCCTCCCTACGTCCCTACCCAAACTATCCACTCCTATATTCTCCCCTCCTCATCTTCCCACACCCCCCTTCTTCCCTTTTTTCCCACCCACCCTTTTCCCTCCTCCCTCTCTCCTCTCCCCCACTCCTCCCTCCTTACCACCCTCTTCCCTACCACCTTTCCACCTTTCTCCCACTCCTCCTATCCTCCCAACCTCTCCTTCTCTCTCTCTCTCTCATCCACCCTCCTTACCTCTCCCCACCATCCCTCCCTCTCCGCGCCCATCCTCCTCCCTCCTTCCCTCTCCCCACCCATCCTCCCATCTTTCACCTCTCTCCTCCCATCCTCCCTCCCTCTCCCCACCCTTCTCTTCCCTCTCCTCCTCTCCCCCTCCCACACTCCAACCCCACCCATCCCTCCACACGCCCACCCTTCCCTTCTCCCACCCATCCTCCTCTCTCCCTTCCATCCTCCCACCCTTCCCTTCCCCCCACCCATCCTCTCACCCTCCCTCTCCCTTCCCTCCTACCTACCCATCCTCCCACCCTTCCCTCCCCCCTCCCACTCCCCTCCTCTCTCCCCCCACCCCACCCCACCCACCTCCCCACCCCATCCTCCCACACTCCCTCCCCACCCCACCCATCCCCCACCCTTCCCTCCCCCACCCACCCTCCCATCCTCCCCTCTCTCTCCCCACCCACCCTTCCCTCCCCCCACCCATCCTCCCACCCACCACCCCATCCACCACACCCACCCACCCTCTCCCACCCACCCTCCCCCACCCTCCCTCTCCCATCCCCCCCAACAGTTAATCCGCGACGTGACCAAGAAACTCCAGAAGGTGCAGGCGACGATCAAGACGGAGGCTGACCTCACTCCGGACGTGGAGGCCAAGGTGGACGAGCTGAGGAACATTATCCGGAAGGCGGAGACGAACAAGTGCAAGGCGGAGGCCAAGTTGGAGCTGCTCAAGGAAGGGGGAAGTGCGTTGGGGCCGGTGTGTCGTGTTTGTTGTATTTGTTTGTGGTTTGTTTGAGTTTTTGGTTGTTTGTTTAGTGTTCTTATTATGTTTTTTTTTTTTTTTTTTTTTTTTTGGGGGGGGGTATTATTATTATTATTATTATTTTACTTATTATTCTTAATGTCTTTTTTTTTTTTTTTTTTGGGGGGGGTATTTTTATCTATTTACTTATTATTCGTATGATGTCTTTTTTTTTAGGGGGGGGGGTATTATTGTTATTATTATTGTTATTATTATTTCACTTATTATTCTTAGTATGTCATCTTTTTTTTTGGGGGGGGGGGAGGAGGGTTATTTTATTTACTTATTATTCTTATTATGTCTTATCTTTTTTTTTTGGGGGGGGGAGGGTATTATTATTATATATTATTGATGTTTTATGTAGGTATATATACTTTTTTCTAGGGAATTTCTTGTATTTTTTTACAATTTCAGAGGTAAGGGATATTTGAGTTTCATTTTATTTCTTCCTTTTCTAATCTTGTAGGTATTCATTTATTTATTTTTTTATTATTATTATTATTATTATTATTATTATTATTATTACTACTATTTTTTGTGAAATGGATTGGATTATTTCAGTTTTTTTTTTTTTTTTTTTTTTTTTTTTTTTTTTTACTCCTGTAGTGATTTTCATTATAATTCTTTATTTTTTCTTTTGTAATTAGTCATCTATTTAATAATCTATTAATGTGTTTTATATAGGTTGTATTTTTTATTATTATTATTATTTATTTGCTTATTACTGTATTTACTTTTTTAAATTATATTTCCTCTCTTTATCCTCCTATTTTTTTTTTTTCTTTTTTTGTATCAAGTGCAAAGCGAAAGCCGATTTGGAGATAATAGACTTAGTTTCATTTTTTTTCTATTTTTATTAGATTTATTTCATTCATTTTTTTATGTTCACTTACATATGTTTTTTGTTTTATTTACTCTTTCCATTTTGATATCCTCCTGTGTGTATATATATGTATACATTTGATATATATGATTATATATATATATATATGTGTGTGTGTGTGTGTGTGTGTGTGTGTGTGTGTGTGTGTGTGTGTGTGTGTGTGTGTGTGTTGTGTGTGTGTGTGTGTGTGTGTGTGTGTGAGTGTGTGAGTGTGTGTGTGCGTATGTGTATGTATATGTGTCGGCTGTTATTTTGGGGGATTTTTTTTCATTTCATATTTTTTTTTTCTGTGGTGGTGCTTGCCTTCCATGCCGCGCTCCATTGAGAGAGAGAGAGAGAGAGAAGAGGGAGGGAGGAGAGGGACGGAGGGAGCGAGAAAGAAGAGAGAGAGAAAAGAGAGAGAGAGACAGAGAGAGAGAGAGAGAGAGAGAGAGAGAGAGGAGAGAGAGGGGAGAGAGAGAGAGAGAGAGAGAAAGGGAAGAAAGAGAAGAAGAGAGAGGAGAAAGAGAAAGAGAGAGAGAAAGAGAGAAAAGAGAAGAAGCGAGAGAGAGAGGAAGAGGAGAAAGAGAAAAAAAGAGAAAGAGAGAGAGAGAGAGAGACAAAAGAGCGAAAGAAACACATAAAAAAAACAACACGGCAAGAAAAAAGACACAGAATAAAAGAACGACCATGAAAAAAAAAGAGCGAGAGAGAGAGAGAACCAACACGTGTGCATGTGCCTCTGAACGAACACTTGTGCACGCGCATGTGAGTACGTCCACGCTGGCGCACATGAACAATGACACGGCGGCAGTTCAATGATCTTGACTGATCGACTTCCACCAGTTGAGATCGAGGACTACTCCAAGAGCCTGGACAGCGACAGCCTCGGCGTGGACCTCGACGTCTCCCTCAGTCGGTCTGGGTCGTCGCTCTCCGTCAGAGAAGAGGTAAACAAGGTAGATATAAGGTTCTGTGTAAGGGTAGAATAAGGTCGAAGGTAAGGGTAGAATAAGGTCGTAGGTAAGGTTAAGATAAGGGTGAATATTAGGTTGAAATCAGGTTAATTGTGAGGTTAGATTGAGGTCGAAAGTAAGGTTAGGATAAGGGTGAATGTTAGGTTAGGATAAGGTCGAAAGTAAGGGTAGAATAAGGGTGAAATTAAGGTTAGGATAAGGGTGAATGTAAGGGAGATCAGGCTGAAATAAGGTTAAGTGTGAGGTTAAAATAAGGTCGAAAGTAAGGTTAGAATAAGGGTGAATGTAAGGTTAAATATAAAGGGGATCAGGCTGAAATAAGGTTAGGTATAAGGATGATAAGGTTGAAATAAGATTAAATTTGAGGTTAGAATAAGGGTGATCAGGTTGAAATAAGGTTAGGTATAAGGGTGACAATGTTGAAATAAAGATGATTGTAAGGCTAGAATTGAGGTTGAAATAAAGTTGATAAAATTAATAAGGCTAAGGCTAGAATAAGGTTGATAAGGGTATAAGGCTGATATTGAGTATATATTACATAGTTCTTGCAAAAGATGTGTTGTGTTCTTTAACGGTTTACGAAAAAAAGCTTTATTATCTTTGTATAGAGGTTTTAAGTGTGTGTATACGTAAATATACACATACTTAAATATCTCTAGGTCAAAAAAAAAGTACACATACTTAAATACCTCTATAGATTACGATCAACCAAAAAAAAAAAAAAAAAAAAAAAAAAAAAAAAAAAAAAAAAAAAAAAAAAAAAAAAAAAATATATATATATATATATATATATATATATATATATATATATATTAATAATATATATATATAAAGCCCAGTAACCCTTAAAAACACACACAAAAAAAAGAAAAAAAAAAAAGAAATAACGTTATCTCCCTGTTCCCTCCCCCCTCCCCACCCCCTTTCCCCCCCCCCCCCCGCCCTCCCCCCCCCCCCTTTCCGCCCCCCCACCCCCCCCAGATCGAAGGCGCCCCGACCGAATATGAGAACGAACAGCAGGATTCAGACGCCATGGCCACATCCACAACAGAACCTCTCTCTATAGACTCAGAGAAAGAAGATATTGTACAACAACCACAACAACAACAACAACAACCCGAAGAAGGTGAGTGGGGAAGGAGAGATAGATGAGGAGGGGGGGGGGATGAGAGGGAGTGAATGAGTAGGTGAGTGAGTGAATGAATGGATAGGTAGAGTGAGAAGGGGATAAAGAGTTTGTGTGATGAATGAATGAGTAGATAGACTGATGAATGAATGAATAGGTAGATTGATGAATGAATGAATAAATAGATTTATGGAGGAATAGATAAATAGGTTTAAGGATGAATGAATAGACAGACTGATGAATGAATAAAGAGACATGCTGATGAATGAATGACTAGATAGACTAATGAGTGGATGAAAAGTTCGGCTGATGAATGAATTAATATATAGATTCTTGGATGAATAGATAGATAGGTTTATTAATAAATTATTAGATAGACTGATGAATGAATTGATAAATAGATTCTTGAATGAATGAATAGACTGATGAATTAATAAGTAAAGTAATAAGTAATTAAGTAAATAGGTTAATTAAGGGTAAATGAATAGATAATTGAGTGAGCTTGATAGATAAAGGAATTAGTGAATTAATTGTTAGATAAATGCATGAGTAGATGAATATATATACGGATGAATGTATTGATAAATAGATGAGTAAATGAAAAGAAAAGAAAAATGGACAGTGAATTGATGAAGTTTGGTTATTTTTTTATTATGCTAGTGATGTAGATATACGTTTTTATGCGTTTTTGTGTTTTATCGATATTTCTTTTTTCCCTTCCCTTCCTCCCCCCCTCTCTCTCTCCCACCCACCCTCTTCTTCCATCATCTCCCACCCACCTTCCTCCTTCCTCCTCCCTCCCTCTTCACTCTCACCCACCCCGTCCTCCCACCCACCTTCCTCCTTCCTTCACCCTCCTCCTGCACTTCTCACCACCCACCACTCTCTCCCTCCCACCTCCTTCCTCCTCCCTCACTTCTCACCACACACCCCTCCTTCCCACCCACTTCCCTCACTTCTCACCTCACCCTCTCTTCCCACCCCATCCCACCCAACCTCCCTCTTCACTTCTCACCCACCACCCATCTTTCCCCCTCCTACCCACCTCACCCCTTCCCCCTCCCACTCCACCCTCTCCTTCCTTCGCCTCCTTCCCCCCTTCCCCCCACCTACCCCTCCCACCCCACCTTCCTTCCCCCTTCCCCACCCCTCCTTCCACCTCCCCACCTCTACCACAACCCCTCCTTCCCCCCACCAACCCACCCACCCCACCTTCCTCCCACAGCCAAACTGGAGCCAACCATGTGGGGACCAAATAAACGTGGACTGGGGAGACCCCCCGTGTCCCCCTCCCCCGGTGACCAATGGCCCCCCGAGGAACCAGGAACATACCCCAAGTGCATTGTGCTTTACAACTACACTGTAAGTATGGGGCTTTTATCTCGTGTGTTTGTGTGGTTAAAATAAGGTTGGGTATGAGGGTGAAATAAAGTTGAAATGAAATTGATTGTGATGCTTGAATTGAGGTTGAAATAAGATGAGGTATAGGGGTGAAATAAGGTTGAATGTAGGTTGAAATAAGGTTAGGTACAAGGGTGATAAAGTTGAAATTAAGTTGAGTGTAAGGCTAGGATTGAGGTTGAAATAAGGTTGGGTATGAGGGTGATATCGTTGAAATAAAGTTGATTGTGAGGCTTGAATTGAGGATGAAGTAAGGTTGGGTATAAGGGTGATAAAGTTGAAATAAAGTTGATTGTAAGGCTAAAATTGAGGTTGAAATAAGGTTAGGTATATGGGTGAAATAAAGTTGAAATAAAGTTGATTGTGAGGCTTGAATTGAGGTTGAAATAAGGTTAGGTATATGGGTGAAATAAAGCTGAAATAAGGTTGAGTGTAAGGCATTGAGGTTGAAAATAGGTTAGGTATAAGGGTGAAATAAGGTTGGGTATAAGGGTGATAACGTTGAAATAAAGTTGAGTGTGAGGCTTGAATTGAGGTTGAAATAAGATGAGGTATAAGGGTGAAATAAGGTGAGGTATAAGTGTGAAATAATGTTGAATGTAGGGCTAGAATTGAGGTTGGAATAAGGTTAGGTATAAGGGTGACAACGTTGAAATAAAGTTTCAAGGCTAGAACTGAGGTTGAAATAAGGTTGATAAAGTTAATAAGGCTAAGGCTAGAATAATGTTGATAATGTTAATAAGGGTATAAGGCTGATATTGAGTAGAGTGGGGAATGGAAAGAGAGAAAGGGAAACAGACAGACAAAGGGGGGTTGTGTTTTGTGTGTGTGTGGGGGGGGGGGTGTATATGTTTGGTCGTATGCCGTACTTATTTTATTATTCGCTGAATTATTGAAGAAAAAATATATATATACTTCAAAAAGCATATCAAGATACCCTAGAATATTCAGATTTAACCTCATTCTCTCTTCGTTCACATTCGTTCATTTTTCAGGCCACAGAATCACACGACGAACTCAGTATTATCAAAAAAAAAAAGATAAAATATATACATCAATACACCGAAAATACCACGCGCCACGCATTCATCCCGAGAATCCCACACGCCACACACCCACAAAACATTGCACACGCACCACACACATAACACCACACACACACACCACACACAACAACACACACACACACACAACACACACACACAACACACACACACACACACACACACACACACAAGAACACACATCACAAAGAACACATCTCATAAAAAAAAAAAACACGTTCCGCTCATAAAAAAAACAAACATTTCCGTTCCCCATTTCAAAAAAAACTCACATTTCCGTTCCCATTCAAACAAAAAAAATCAACATTCCGTTCCCATTAAAAAAATAATAATAATAAAAAAAAAATAAACATTCTGCTCCCATTTCAAACAAAACAAACCCACATTCCGTTCCCATTAAAAAAAAAAGAAAGAAAGAAAAGAAAAACGTTCCTATTAAAGAAAAAAAAACTCACATTCCGTTCCTATTCAAAAAAAAAAAAACAACTCACATTCCGTTCCCATTTCAGGCCCAAAACCCTGACGAACTCAGTATTATCGAGAACGAGGAGCTGGAACTTCTGGGAGAAGGAGACGGCGACGGTTGGGTCAAGGCGAGGAACTACAAGGGAGAGGTGAGAAGTGGAGGAGAGGGAGAGAGAGGGGGGGAGAGGGAAGGAAGGAGGAAGGAGAGAGAGGGAGAGAAGGAAGGGGGAAGGGGGAAGAAGGGAGAGGTGAGAGAGGGAGGGGAGAGAGTGGGGGAGGGAAAGGAAGGAGAGGGAGGGAGAGGGAGAGGGAGAGGGAGAGATTGGGGGAGGGGGGAAGGACAGGGAGAGGAGAGGGAAAAGGGAGAGATTGGGTGGAGAGAAAGAGAAGAGAGAGGGAAGGAGGAAGGAGGAAGAGGGAAGAGAGAGGGAGAAGGAGATGGATGAGAGAGGAAAGGGAAGGGAGGGGAGAGCACAGAGGTTAGAAAGGGAAGTAGGAAGAGAGGGAAGAGGAAAGAGGAGAAGGAGAGAGAGGGGCAAGGAAGGAGGAGAGGAAGGAGGAAGTTGGGGAGTAGTGGAAAGAGAGAGAGAGAGAGAGGGCAGAAAAGAGACAGAGACTGGGAGAATGTGGGGGTGGGATACATAAAAAGAGGGAAGAGAAAAAAAGTGAAGGAGAAAGATAGGTGAGAGGGACAGAAAGGGGAAAAGAGAGAGAGAAAAAAAGAGGAGGGAGTGAGTCAGATAAGGAGGAAGAGGGGGAAGGATGGAGGGAGGAAGAGAAAGAGAAAAGGGGTAGATATAGACAAAAGGTGAAGGAGAAAGAAGTAATAAAGGTTGAAGATGGTTGTCTTTTTGGGAATGCCGTAAGGGTTGTAATAACATTTAGTGTGTGATTAATGCATATAAGTAGTAGTAGTATTGTTTGTTTTATTGTTATTTTCTGTTTTTTTTTCTATTTTCTATTTTATTTTCCTCTACCTTCTTTATTATTGCCTCATCTACATTTTTTTCCTTTTCTTTTACTCTTTCTCTTCAGTTTCTTATTCTTTCCTGTTCTTTTCCCGTTCCACTTCCTTCCTTTTCTCCTCTTCTAATCGTCCTACTTTTTTTCTGTCATCCTTCCCTTATTCTTCTTATTCTTATGCTTCTAATTCCTACTTTGCTTCATTTTTTCTCCTTCTCCTCCCCATTCTCATTCTCCTCATCCTTTTCTTTTCAACCCACTTTCCCCATCTCCTTCTTATTACTTCCCATCTTTCGCTCACCCTCTGGCTATCCTGTTAGTACTACTACTACTGCTGCTATTATATGTACTACTGTACCACTGCTACTATTATTATTGTCATTATTATTATTATTATTATTATTATTATTATTATTATTATTATTATTATATTATATTATTATTATTTTACTACTTTACTACTGGGACTATTGTTACTACTGTTATTACTTCTACTACTACCACTACTACTACTACTACTACTACTATTACTACTACTGTTACTACTACCAGTGCCACTACTATTACTATTACTACTACTACATCTACTACTACTATCAACAACAACAACTCCAACAGCAAACCTCCCCCCCCTGCAGGTGGGCTACATCCCCCAGAACTACATCGAGGAGGAGGAGAGTGGGTCGGCGCCCCCCAGCAGCCCGACTTCGCCACCTTCCCCGAAACGACCCCCCCGCGCGACCACCAAACCGGAGGGCACGCAGCGGGGCATGTCCTTCTCCCTCAGTGGAATACAACCTGGAGGTAAGGAGGGGGGGGTATGTGGGGATTCTTCTTTGGGGGGGTGGGGTTGGGGGGGGGGGTTGGGTGGGGGTGTGTGTGTTTTGAGGGTGGGTGGGGTGGGGTGGGGTCATGTGTGTGTGTGTGTGTGTTTGTGTATATGTACATAGATATATATACAATATATATATATATATATATATATATATATATATATATATATATATATATATAATACATACATATATATATGACATATACTTATTAATGTATATATATATATATATATATATATATATATATATATATATATATATATATATATATATATATATATATATATTATTAATGTATATATATAATATATATATATAATATAATTATATATGTTGCTTGTATATACATATATATACACATACATATATGATATATATGTATGTATATATATATGTGTGTGTGTGTGTGTGTGTGTGTGTGTGTGTGTGTGTGTGTGTGTGTGGGTGTTGTACGTCTATCATTTATATTTAGATAATACTTATCAAATCCTTTTTTAAATTTTGCATATAAGCATATATATATAGCCACACCCATTATTTTCTTTAGTCGACTCCCCCTGTTGTACAAATTTATATCAATTCATTTTTATTATTTATCTGTTTTTAGTAAGTGAGCCTCTTACACGAAATCACTAGAGTAATAGTGCAAACTGCAAATTCACCCGTTTGTTTAATAGGCAATTATGTAGTTGTAATTACCAGTAGAGTGTTGTTAGAAATGCACTATATTTTTTTTTCTGTAAATGTGATTTTATAGTGATTGGTAATTAGATAATTGTCTTTTTAATTATTGTATTCATTGGTATTATTGCTATCATCACCATCCTTATTAGGTGTAGTATAATTGTGAATTGTGTTTAATTAATTTGAGTATTGTTCTTATTTGCATTTAATTATTTTGACATCAATATTATTATCATTGTTAATATTCATGTTTATTGTTAGAATTTGTTTTATTATTATTACTTTTATCATTATTATCAGACTATTATTATCATTATTATTATCATTATTATTATCATCATTATCATTATTATTTTTGCAGTAGTTGTAGTGTCATTATTATTATTTTTAATGATCATTATGGCTGTTTCATTATGAATATGATTATTATAATTACCATTATCATTATGATCATTTTTCATTGCTGTCATCATTAGCATTAGTAGTATTAACATCATCATTATCACATTATTATTATTATTATTATTATTTATTATTATTATTATTTATTATTATTATTATCAGTATTATTATTCTTGTTATTATTATTATTATATTATTTATTGTCATTATGTATTATTATTAGTATTATCATTATTATTATTATTATTATTATTATTATTATTATTATTATTATCGCTGTTATTATTATAATAAGTATTATTTCTTTATTATTACTCTTATAATCATTTCTTTTAACGATGATGGTGATGATGATGATTATTATTATTATACTTAGCAGTATCATTATCATTATTATCATTATTACCATTAGTATTATTATGATAATGATGATGTTGATGATTATGATCATTAATGATACATAATCATTATCCTTTATCTTCAGTAGCAGTATGAAATTCATATTTTTTTTCTCATTTTTGTCATCATTTATTTTATGTCATATACATATTTATTCATATGTATAGATAGATAGATAGATAGATAGATAGATAGATAGATAGATAGATAGATAGATAGATAGATAGATAGATAGATAGATAGATAGATAGATAGATAGATAGATAGATAGATAAATAGATAGACAGATAGATAGATAGATAGATTAGATAGATAGATTAGATAGATAGATAGATAAATAGATAGATAAATAGATATTATATTTGCTTTTGTTTTGCTTTTTTGTTTTTCGTTTAAATAGTAGAAGGATGGTGATGTCATATTCATTTTATGCATCAAATGTAGAATTGATATTTCCTATTTCATCATTTGATTTGTCTCTTTCACATGTATTGATTTTCATTTTTGTACATTGTTTTTTTTTTTTTTTTTTTTTTTTATCTTGAAAGAGTGACGTTGCTGTATCGAAATGAACCTTCTTGATAAATTTTCCAAAAAAAAAAAAAAAAAATCTGACCTCCGTTATGTGTTCAGTTTCCCTCCCTTTATTTCAAATTCAAAATTTTTAGATCTCGATAATAATATTGATAAGTGTATGTAGCGGATTTTCCCCATCGTTCTACCTCCCCCCCCCCCTTCTCTCTTCAAATCCAGATGTATTTCTCAATTTTTTTGCGTGCTAATCCCCACATTACAGCCCAAGAATATAATTTACCTCCGTTTCACAGACCAAAAAAAATCAGAAAATCAACTTTTAAAAGCAGATGAGAAAGCAGAATCAAAGAAGGTTTATTGTCTTTGCGAGTTCCCTTGACAAGGAACTAGGGCCTGGCACTAACGAGGCTTTCCTAGTTTGTTTCTTGGCATCAGGGGACTCTCTTGCACTGTCACTCTATAAAGCAACAGTTTGGTGACCCAGCTCGGCGTAGCACAGGTGGACCCTCCACTGACATCATCCTTCTGTCCTTCATTCTACTCTTTTATGTCTTGTCGAGGTCCTTGTTGTGTCTGAGAGCATTGTGTGTTTCCTTAACTCTCTCTCTCTCTCTCTCCTTGATTTCATTTTTAATTTTTCGAGTCTTTTTGTCTTTTCTTTTCTTTTTCTCTTTCTGTGTCTCTCTCGGTCTTTCTCTCTCTTTGCCCCTCTCACTGTCTTTCTGTCTATCTCCATACCTCCATCTCTCTTTTTCTCCCTCCCCGCATCTCCTTTCTCTGTCCCCTCTTTCTCTCCCCCTGCATCCTCCTCCCCCTCCGTCTCCCCGGCCTCCCTGCATCTATCTTTCTCTTTCCTCTTCCTCCATACATCTCTATCCTACTCCCTCCCATCCCTTTCTGCACGTCTCTTTTTCCATCCCTCCGTCCATCTCTCTTTCCTCCCCCACCAACCCTTCCAGCTTTTCTCTCTATCCCTCCTTCCATTCCTCTTCCCCCCTCCGTTTCTCCTCTCCCTCCCTGCATCTTTCTCTTCCCCCCCCCCTCTACCCTCCTTTCCCTCTCTCTCTCTCTCTCTCACCCCCCCCCCCAATCTTTCTTTTTTTTCCTCCCAACCCCTCCCCTTCACCTCTCACCCCAAATCTTTCTCCATTCCTCACTCTCATCCTTTCTCACCTCTCACCTCCCCCCCAACCCACCCTCTCTCCCCTCCCCCAACTCTCTCACCCCCACCCTCTCTCCCCTCCTTCAACCCACTCTCTCTCACCCCCTCTCCCCACCCTCTCTCCCCTCCCCAACCCACCCCCTCTCACCCCCTCCCCACCCCAACCCTCTCTCCCCTCTCTCATCCCCCTCTCCCCCCCTCCTCCCCTCTCTCACCCCCACCCTCTCCACCCTCACCCTCCCTCTCCCTCCCCCCCCCACCCACCCTCTCTCTCCCCTCCAACCCACCCTCTCTCAAAAGAATCTTAACGAGCCACCCACGCTGAGCCCTTTTGTCTCCCCCGCCAAGACCGAGGAAGAAATGGCGGCTCCGGTCTCTTTCTCATCGATCGATTACAGCATCGAGGTGGGCATCAATCATCCGCATCGTCACTAAGGCATACCCCAAAGGCATACCCCAAAGGCATACCCCAAAGGCATACCCACATACCCAAGCTGCTTGATCCATAGCTTGAACCCACAGTCGCAGAGCTTCTCTTTTGTCTATACCCTTCTATATATATATTTATATATATATTTGGAATAATATATATATATAAGGAAAGATTGAACCTTCACCCTTTATTAAAAGAATTAAGAAAGCTTAGCTGAGATCTGTGTCTTTTTTTTTATTTATTTATTTATTTTTCTCATACTCTCCGGCTCTTTAACAAGCTGTGCTTAATTCCCTGGATCCTTATGTAGTTTTTTTTCTCTTTCTTTTCGTTCTTTTTTATTCTCTCTGTTTTTTTATATATAAAAAAAATAATATTCCTTACCTTCCATCACAGAGAGTTGTCGCTATAGCAGTCAAAGTGATCAGTGATATGAAATGCTATGATAAAGAAAGATTAAAAAAAGAGGAATTTGTGTCCTTTTTCAGTGGCCTTTTACCAAGCATGTGGGCTTCATAAGCGTGCTTCTCTCGTCTTCTTTTATCATTTTTTTCTTCTTTTTCTTTCTCTTCGTGGTCTTTTCTTGGTCATAATGTTTTTTTTTAATGTTTTTGGATAAAGAATTTAAATGGCGATTTAAGTCTAACTTATAACCTCTTTGGCTTATTTTTAAATATATTTTTTGGCAGTCATTTTTTTTCTTAAATCTGTTTTATTGCTTGTTAATCTGAGAAAAAAATCCGAATTGTTTTTAAATGATTAAGATCATCAATTATTTTTTTTGTGTAATAAATTGCTTTCTTTTGAATAATAAGAAGCATTTTTCTGATATGTTTGTGTGCATTATATATTCATTCCATAGAGTATATTTAAACTGAATGCAAGTTAAAAATTATTTATATTTCATTAATTTAGTTACAATTCTAGCTTTCATTTTAAAATTCTTGGTCTATATTTACTAATCCTGAATAGAAAAAATATTAATACATATTTCAATTCTTCACATACGTAAAAGAGGAGACCAGATAAAATTCTCTTATAATAAAAAGAAACAAAAGTAGATAAATAACCACGAATAAATAAATAAATAAAGTAATGCAGATTAGACCATGTTGCTATGTAGAAAAGAAACTAATCCTGACTGGAGAGTAAAGTAGCTAAGATCTATGTGGTATAGCAAAGAACCTTAGATAATACAGTGTGTAGTGTCTCTGTAGCGCAAACATTACTGTGCCTTAACCATAGGAACCATTACAGTGTTTCCTGAAATAGTAAAACCATACCTTTCAACGTGATAGCTTTGGGTCCAAGTACATGCTGTTGAAAGTTAGCGACATGACTCTATCCCCCAGTGTCAGACATGACTTGGCAGAAGACAGCATTCCCTTATTCTTATGAAATATACTATCATAGATTTCTGTGCTTGATATAGAGTCAATGGCGTTATTCTAGATATGCCTGTATATAAGATTCAGTTTGAAATAAAAAATATATATATACAATTATGTATCTCTGATCTAGGAGAGTAATGAGAGATAATACTACGTTTTTTTGGACATAATTTGACAGCATGTTTTCCATCACTTTAACAGGACCAACTTATTTGACACATTCGTTCACCTACAACACCTGATTTTCTTCACACTGACAAACCTGACTTGGCAATACACACAAGTTGTCCTTTGACTTCTAAACGCACACTGAGACACTTAACTCCCCTGGTTCACGTGGTGCTATAACACAGGCTGTTCTCGCTTTCATTTCTTATAAGTTCTTTGTATGTTAATATCAACATCACCTTTCTCAAGAGACTGCCATTATGCTCCTGGTTTGATGTTGCAGGCAGAAGCGGCCGTCCCCTTGCTAATGCTTTGGCCCTGTGCTTACCATTGTCCATATTAGCCGACTCTTGATTGTCAGTGTAGTTGTTGCTATATCAATTTTATCAGTATATAGGGTATGAAAATTCTACCCGGACTCACAGATGCAGCGTTCTTCACAAAAATCAAAATGTCCCAGTACTCTGCAATGTCCTTTCGTACATAATTTTACTGACACTGCATCAGCTCAATGGACCTTCGTCTCTATGGGGGTCTTACGAGTCTTACTAGCTGTGCAGTTCCTTGAAGAAATGATCAGTCTAATAGCTGAGATTCCCCTTCTATAGGAACGACATTTCCTAGTGAATCAGAATGTAATCATGCTGTTTCCTTGCTAGAATACGAGGTCAAGTCAGCCTCATGTACCAGATATGATGTACCTCATAAAGTTGTCTTCCCCAATACCTCCGTGCAGTCATAGATCATTATTCACATATCGGAGTATTAAAAAACTCTGATAATTGAAGATAATAATTACGATTAAGTCTGGGCGTTCATACTTTATGCCATAATGTGTGTAGAATGCCCCGTTGTAGACTGATTTTAGCAGTGACTAATGTTTGTATTGAGAATTCATCTAAATTTTGTATTGGGATAGTGAAGCCCCAGTCAACAACTTAAGAGAAACAAAAAGTAGATGAATAAAAAAGGAATAAAAAGGCCATTTTTTACCACGTTACCAAAATTATATTTCTGCAAACCATGGCTGCCACAGGTACATTCTCAGTTACAAATACGAACCGCTGCATAAAGACAAAACCGGTATAAATTTGGGATATGATAGAACTGGATTTCACGTGATTGTGTATCATATTGGAACACATTAAATTTAAATATTCTTAAATCGCTGCAACAGATAATTGAGTTAAACATGAATTCGAAACAAAATTCCGAAGGTCGGCTCGTTAGTCCTGCAATAGTTTTTTTTACATTAAACACTCATTCCAAAAAAGTGTTATTCACAACAGATAAAAAAAAGTCGAATGTCTTTAAAGTCTTGTAAACTGCAGTAGCCTTTAAACCCAAAATACAACACAACGCGTACATGTGCGTAGGATTTGCGTACATGCATACATAAACACTTACGCACACACATACAAACACATGTATGCACTTTCGCATAAGCTAAACAGACGTTTGCACACAATGTACAAATGTCCCTCGTGTGCCTCCTCTTTGTGTGCTTGAATACACTTGTTTGCAGGCATTGTCTCACATTTTATTCTCGGTCACTGTGTGTTTATGTGTTTTTTTGGAGTGTTCATTAAACAAAGATCATTTCTGTTAATTGGGTGTCTGGTTTTTGCATGGCTTATGAGGTATGAGGTAACAGTCGGTGGATGCTAATACACAGGTAAAATACACGTACATATACGTACAGATGGACATACACAGGTAAAATACACGTACATATACGTAACATACACAGGTAAAATACACGTACATATACGTACAGATGGACACACACAGGTAAAATACACGTACATATACGTACAGATGGACATACACAGGTAAAATACACGTACATATACGTACAGATGGACACACACAGGTACATATACGTACATACACAGGTACACGTACATATTACACACACACAGGTAAAATACACGTATTTACACACACAAACACACACATTACTTACAAATTCCAATAAACAACACTGTACACTTTTTGAAATATAAAAAAAGTGATTTTATATTAAAACCCGTGCACTCCTTCCCGCCAATTTTCCCAAACTATTTGAAAAATTATTATTAAATATATGAACAAAATTATTAATATTATATGAACAATTATATTAATCGCACCCTTTTGATAGAAAAATACACACAAAAGAAAGAAAAAATAGATCATCTTCACAGCTGACGCAATATGAAAATTGAGATAGAAGATTCCGTGGAAAAAAATCAAAAAAAGATTATTGAAGATTTCGAATAGTAAAAAAAAAAAAAAAAAAATCAGAAATACTTGACGAAAAGAAAAAACCCCCCTCCCTCCAGATCCCATAAGAGCGATTCCCCCAGCCTTTGAAACAGGATTATGATCCCTCCGTCTCCTACAGGGTGCTGAGGAATACCCTGCCACGGAGGACTTCCCCAGCGAGCCCCCCCCTGACCTACCCCCACCGCGCCCCCTGCCGACGCCCTGGAGAAGGTCCCTGTCAACTTGCCGACTTTGTCCCTGCCGGTCGATTCCTCCTCCTCGCATGGGCGTGAGTAAAGAGGGATTGTGGTTGTTTGGTTGTGGTAGGAATTGTGGTAAGGGGTAATGATGATTGTGATAGTAATAATAATGATATAATGATGATAGTGATAGTAATAATAATGATATAATGATGATTGTGATAGTAATAATTGATGAGTATAGTTGGAATTGTGGTAAAGTGGTAATGATGATTGTGATAGTAATAATAATGATATAAGGAGTTATAGTTGTAATTGTGGTAAAGTGTTAATGATGATTGTGATAGTAATAATAATGATATAATTATGATAGTGATAGTAATGATAATGATATAAGTAGCGATAGTTGGAATTGTGGGAAAGTGGTAATGATGATTATGATAGTAATAATATCATAAGTAGTGATATCAAGTAATTATTGTAATGATAAAATGGTAATAATGGTAAAGATAGTATTATCAATGGTATTAGTAATGGTAATAGTGGTAAAGATAGTATTTACAATGGTTGTAGTAATAAAATTGCTGGTAGTGATAGTAATGGTTATATTAAAATGAAATGGTAATGAATTGATGATAGTAATAGTGATAAAGATAGCATTAAGTAACAATGGTAATAGTAATAACAATGATGATAGTAATAGTAATAATGATGAATATAATTCCATGTATAGAAAAAGTTAACATAATTCCATTTTCTTCTCCTCTATCTCAATCACCTAAATTTCCACTCCCTCCACATCCACCCCTCTCCTCCTCACCTCCACCTAACGCCATCTCCAACCCTACCCCAACCCCCACCCATCACCTCCATCCCCTATCCCACCCCCTACCCCCCGAACACCACCCCATTACCCGATGCCTCACCACCACCCCCACTATCCCCACCCCATTACCCACTACCCCAAACACTGACCACTACCTCCACCCCTATCCCAACCCCCTAATTCCCTCACCTCACCACTACTACCCCTATCTACCCCACAACCCCCCGCCACCCACCACTACCCTCTAACCCCAACCCCACCCCCCACTACCCCACCCTCACCACCACCACTACCCCCTATCCCCCCTTATACCCCCTCACTACTACCCCTCATCTCACACCCACACCCCCCCCCATCCCGCCCCAGTCGCCGAGTACTGCATCGCCGTGTACGACTACGAGGCGACGTGCCCTGAGGAGATCACCTTCTTCGAGGGTCAGCTGATCAAGATCCTGAAGCGAGCCGTGCACGATGTGGATGACGGGTGGTGGGAGGGCGAGGTGGATGGCCAGGTGGGGCTCTTCCCCTCCCTGGTGGTGGAGGAGTGCCGATCCGACGGAGAACCACTCACGCCTGATGTAAGTTTTGCGTTTTTGTTCTTGTGTGTGTGTGATTGTGTGTCTTGTCTGCGGGTATGTGTCCTCCCGTACTGGATGGGGTTAAGTCAGTCAATTATTTTTTCTTTATTTTTATTTATTTATATTTACTTTTTGTAAAAGAAATGGAGGATCTCAGAGACGTTCTTATCTCATTTTTTTATTTTCAAAAAAGAAAGTTATGGTTCCTCTTGCTATTTATTCATTTATCATCATACTTTTTACACGGCGCTTGAAATGGGCAATCTTGCTTCGTCTAGCGCACGGATGATGTCCAGTGTAGCATGTTGGTGTAAATTGCAGGCCAG